GGGGTGAACAATACTAAGGAAGAGGCAGTGTTAAGACAGTGGAAGTCTTGCGATGCTGGGAGCATGCACGCTGGAGTTTCTAGAAGGATCATGACTTATCGAGGAATCTCGCGAATGTCGGAGTATTTGTGAGGTGCACTGTTTTTTAGTATATAAGCTCGGCAAATAAAGCTAGCACGATTGAAGAAGAGATAGATAATTGAGTCAAGCAAACAATAGGCACCGTAAGTAAAGTGTGTGAATCACTGATTTATAGCGTGTTATAAAGGTTGTTAAGTTTAAGGTGACTGTGGAAATTCTGTGTATTACAAAAAAGTTGTATAGAGAAATAATAAACTAGTCTTAATTAAGAAAGGATCTTGTATCACTGAAGTTTCTTGGAATGAACTTATACCGGAAATTAACAAACAATCAGATACCGAACAATATTTATCACATAAATCTCTCTCTCTAGCCTTATAACTTAATTTTTCAAAGTGTTTAAAAAAATTGCAATTTTTACAACATCTACAAATCCTGAATTTTCATCATCTAAAATTTCGCAACTTTCTTTTTTAAAATTATTTTCTTTATTTGTGGTGTTTAATCTGTCCTTTAGATATGACAGAAATGTATTTCTAAAGCCAGTGCATCATAGCACATGACAGTAGAACACTGCATTGTGCAGAAAGAAACTACTACAACAAAGTTAGAATGTCTAGCCATAGTTTGGGTTGTAGAAAAATTTACGGTATACCGAGATGGAGAAGAATTTACAGTTATAACTGACCATGCTGCCTTGAGATGGTTAGAGACAGCTCTTAAGTTAACTGGTAATGCACTGGTCAGTAAAATTGCAAGACTTAACATTTGAAATAGTTCAGAGAAAAGGAAAAGAGAACCAGTTACCTGATGCCCTAGCTAGACATTCTACCGATCACTCAGAAGAAACTCCAGAATTTGGATGTCGGTAAGCTATCACCTACACAGCATGAACAGTCTTGCAAAGCTGCATACAAATGTGGTGCCATGCTGTTCTTGGACTGTGTTGATGACTGGTTCTCAAACTCTTTTTCATTGGAAGTATTTATGTGTGAGGAGCCATACAATGAACATAATGATTTGAATGATATCTAATAACTTGAAACATATACATTATAATTTGTTGGACATTCAGCCTTAAAATATATAGATTGATCTTCTGTTGCTTTATCATCACAAACAATATAATGAAAGTGTTACATTCCAGTATGTCTTCTAAATGTCTATGATGGTGATTAAACAATGTTATCATACAATCTTTTATACTTCACCAGTTACTATTGTGACTACTATTTTTGCCTGATTCCTACTGTCTTATAGCACTATCAATATACTTTGGTAATTATTTCAATATTTCACACATATTTTGCATACAGTACAAACTTTTAATTCTTGCTTATTTTCAATTAACTATTACAATAACAAAGATGGTACAGATCATGATGGTCTTCTTGTTTCTTTACAAAACAGATGAAAAAAGTAACACACCATTTATTAGTTTTTCTTCTTGCTTTATTGACAACTTACACAATAGTTCATGGCTGTTTTTATATGGACAAAAATGCATAGATAAGAAATCGTTATTCATAGAGCATATTCATTTGTTTAGAAACTGAAATATTTTTTTATCCTTCCCACAAAATTGCAACAAAACACCAGTTTCAATATAAAACAGTATTACTTTATGGGTAACTGGTATGGTGAATGTTAACATTTTCCTACACCGAAAATATATTTCCAATAGATACCCCTTCTCATGTAACAGTTATTCTTGACTTGTGTTGCCCTCTATATACATAATATTTTCTCGCCACTAGCCATCATGCTCCCACCTGCCCTCATGTGATTACATGTGATATAGCTGCACTGTAGTGAACCCATGGAGGATGATATTCTACTGTATGGAATCACACTTATGGAAGACCACACCCCATCATGCTCCCACCTGCCCTCATGTGATTACATGTGATATAGCTGGACTGTAGTATGCAAAAACCCTCCACCAATAAGAAAGTAGCATACCCTTCTTGCACAGCTGACTCCTCCTATACTGCAGAGCACTGTCCTCAACTCGGGATTAAGGAAAATGATGCGCCAGAAGTGTGAAAAGAGGTAAGTATCTATTCAAAATACATTTTCAGTGTGGGAAAATGTTAACTTCCAAAATGATACCTTACCTCTACTCACATAATTACTAGTATCCCACAAGGAAATGGTGGAGGGACTGGTGCAAAAGTTACTTGGGTGAGCACTCTTTGGAAAGTGCCTGAAGAGAACCCATGGAGGATGATATTCTACTGTATGGAATCACACTTATGGAAGACCACACCCCATCTGTACCAGGTATACTCTTCACCTGTTGTAAAGATAAGTGCCACTAAATCTGGCAGAGAAAAGCACATCCAATCTATAATTAAATGTGCTAGATGGTGTAGAGTGGCTAGGGCACATCAGACCATATTCGGTGAATCAACTCCAGTCCAAAACCAGGCAGCATTGAGTATTTGTCTTCTGGCCCATGGTAGGAGGAGGGTCCCAATCATCTTCACTTCAAGACCAGGAAGCAGAAAGGAAAACAACTTCCATTCAATCCAGCCAGGGCAAGTGTGTGCAGTCTCAGCACACAACCAACACCAGGCTGGAAATACATCATCTGTGTAATTGTAGGAAGGGGGAAGGCAATTGTGGTGGGTCAGCTCCAGTCCACACCAGGACACATCAGGATTTTATCTGTTCTGTGGTAGGAGGAGGAGGGTCCCTAACAACATTGTGTGAGGACTTAGATTGGATAGTCCTATGCTGATCCAACATCAGACCACAAAGGGAACACATACAGACACCACTAGGATGGAGGAAAGCCAGCTGAGAGGGTTAACTGCATATTGGGTATTTGTCTTCCAGTCTGTAGTAGGAGGACAGTACTCACCATCTATACCAACAGAACACCACTGCCATACTCTTGATTACATGGAATTGGTCACACTCAGCAGTAACTAGTAAGTGGCAAGGACCCCATACTCCACTGGAAGAGGGGGGGATGCACTGGAGAGTACGGAGGAATGTAACACTGTAAGACCACAAAAACCCTATTTTGAAAAGCAGGCTGGTCCTGGTTTATTCAACTAGAACTGGAGGGATGGGCAATCCTAACACTGCTTTACTCATGATAGTCAATGAGTTGGTATGGTCTAGTGTGGGCTTTATTTATGAAGCAAAACACCATGAGGCAAAGCCTAGCAGTCTTGTGAAACACCCCATCTCTTCAATGAGTGTTACAGAACTGTATGGCCATATGGTGCAGAGTTGAAGTTAAATACACCTAGACAGGCACCATTTGTCACAGAGCAAGATCCAGATATGTAGAAGTAGGCCACTGTTAAGGTAAGATACATAAAAAGAGAACTTACCCCTTCAGGGTCATTAAAGAGTATGTAGTATGGCAACAGGAGAAAGTTGATATCTGGAAGATGAAAAAATGTGCAATGAAAGTGGGGTAGTCCACACACCTGTTTTCATTTACCCCTCCAATAAATGACAGAAGTAAAGAGCCAGAGAGAGAAAATAAGGTGTCGGATTTGGTGAGAGAAACCTTGTATAAGTCCACGTGAATCTACACTGAATAAAGCATAGGCAAAATCGATGAAGTGCTGTAGCTATCCCTAATAGAAGAAACATCTCGGGTAGATGAGGAATTTCAAAATATAAATAGATGGGAGTGTGAACCATGAGAAGGAGCAGAGTAGGTCAAAGAATGTACCACATGGATGAGACAGAGAGAAATGATTCGGAACATAAGGAGAATAATATGGAGAATGGAAGGAAAAAATTTGGGAAGCAGTAATGGCATACACATCATATCTCCCACAGCCACTGGCAAAAACAAGTCAGATCTAAGCAAAAAATGGTACAAGGAACAAGAGACTAAAGGATCAAAGAGAGGAAAATTAAGGGCATGGAAAACAATATTCAGGTACCAATCAAGAAGGACTGCAAGATGAGTAGGACAAAGGAGACAAAAGGAATAAAAATGCATGGAAAAGACAGGAGAGGAGAATACATGCCAACAATAAGAAAACCAAAATTATTAAGTAGAGCTGCCTGGTAACTAGCCATGGCCAAATGTAATAATCCTTGATCAACCAGCTCATGAAAAAATTCAAAAAGATGGGAAATTGAAGAAAGGGAATGAAACATGATGCAAAGACCAACTACAGAATGTCATCGATAGACAAGAAGGTAGGAAGAATGCACCAGACAAGAAAGAAGGAAGGCTACAAGTAAAGAGACTGGAACATCTTGGAAGGTACTGGACAAACTCCACAAGTGAAGTCAGAGTTACGACAGTGTTGGATGGGAGGAGTGAAGTTGGAGGAGTAAAGAGTGACAGAAGTAAAGGAAAAGAAGAGGACAGGAGAATGTGCAACAGAGGAAACTCTGGCTGAGATAGCCAATACAGAGTTATCAGGAGGACTCAACATGGAGTGTCCAGCAAGAGGGAGAAGAGAAGACCAGTCCTAAAAGAATGCATCCCTAGATAAGGCTGAGAGAAGAGGAAAAGGAGACCAGAAAAGAGGAAATAGGGTATGGAGAAGAGTGGCAAAAACATCTAAAAAAGTGTCCAGATGGTAGTGATGGCTAGGTTGTATCTTGGCAGGCCTTGAGAGACAACCCATAACAACAATCAGGGCACCTGGAATAGAACATCCTATTTACGTACTTGTATGGAATGGGCCCAGAAAAGGATGTTGATAATGTGGAAACAGGGAAAGCGAAATGAAGTGTCCCCTGACAACTGATAAAGGATACAACTACAGAGTTGACTGTATGTATCATCAAGAGACGTCTGTGAATCAACCTAAAAAAGATTCAAAATTTGACGTCCTGCCAAAAGTACTAAGAGATGGATTTGAAGGGACAATATGTCATGGTACCAATGACCCGAATTCATGAGAGAGTCGAGACATTCCATCTCCATATCATCAAGAAGGTATCTGGAATCAGAAGTTGATCTGGACAAAAGGAATACCCACTACGAGAGTAGTTTTATCGAGTCACCAGATGATGTCTTTGAATAAGGAAGGAGAATGGTTGAGGACAAGAGATCCCAAGCAAGGATCCAGCGAACATACAGACGATTGTAGACATCACAAATGAGCAAGACCCACGGAAATACAGCACCCGTATTCACTATGGAGCCCACACTTCTCTTTCCTGTGGTCTGGAAGAGAGAAGAATATAAAAAAGATAAGGACATAACTATTATAAAGATTATCATTCGTTATCAAAAGTTGAAAAATAAACTGCCACAACCAACATTAGTCAGAAGGCAAGGGTGCAGTGTATAAGAAAAAGTATTAAGACTACTATGCCATTAGAAAGTTATGACATATTATTCACTCCATCCTCCACTACCCCCAAGTACATTGAAACACCTGTTGTTTGGGCTGACAGTTACATTTTCCTAGACATGATGTTGCCTGTGCTTTAAGAGACCAGTGGTCAAGTGAGTCAACACTGCTTGTTAGTTGTCTCAGTAGTGTTGCCATGTGTGGATGTGCCTATGTGACTGTTGCATGATAAGTAGACATTTGATCACTATTTACTGTTCATTTGGTAGTGATGGCAGGTGTGTTTAAAAAAGTTTCAAAACGAAAACTTTTGGATGAGCACAAGACTTAAAGACGAATGGGAACAAGTCTTTCACATGAGTGCCAAATCGTGAAGTGATGATAGTGCTCTAGACTATAGAGGGGATCAGCTGTGCTCAGAGAGTGCATTACACTCCTATTGGTGGAGGGTTGTCACATGCTATGGCACAGCTATCAGCTATAAATGAATAATCACATGAGGATAGGTGAGAGCATCAAGGCTAGTGGTGAGCAACAAATGTGCATATAGAGTGCAGCACAAGTCGAGAAAAGCTAGTATGTGAAAAGAGGTAAGGTATTGTTTGAAGTTACAATTTAACATTAGTTAATCAACTCAAATGTTTTACATACTTTACACAATTAGTGTACATATATTGGAAATAGATTTATACCACAATGTTAATAATCTAATAGAGGAATACCTGGTTAAATGTTTACTTTGGGGGCACACTTCTCAATGTGGATTTATGTTGCTTGCAATTTTTTACTTGTACATCTACACCTAAAATTTAAAATGCTTCATTGTGATGGGTGTAAAATCTTCTCTAATTTACTTTTAACTTATTTAGTGTGGAAGTATCCATACACTTTGAATTGTTAAGCAATGAGAAAAAGGATAACAAAGAAATTTTTTTCTCCATATCAAAAGAACTAATAAAGGCTACTATACCTGAATAATACCTTAAAATACAGACAATATTCTCTATAGGAAAATAACCTAAGCAATTATATTAAGAATTTCGATATGTTGTTTTGTGCTAAAAAATACTGTAGTTTTGCTCTAAAGTTTTTAAGCATGATGTTTGTATGTTCAATCTATATATTATACACTCTTCATACACAAGAAATAAACTAGCTTGATACAAGCCAATAAACTACACAGTATAAATGATATATATATATATATATAAAGGAACACAACATTGTATAACATTTTAGTGCAAAATCTCTCTAATACAATAAATCCATTATCATTTTAGCCTTATAAAAAACTTCAAGTGATAAGTACATCCTGTTTTTCAGTTTGCATATCGCACAGCCACTAAGATCTTAAGATCTACTGTAATTCTTTTTTGAATGAAAACATACTTTGATTTAGTTAAAATGTAACTTTATTGCAAGCATTTTACTTTAAATAATGGAACAGAATAAGTTTTGTGTTTGGTATTTATTATTATAAAACTTTCTTATAGATATATTCCATTCATATGATTATTATCCAAGATTATTCATAAATACTTTACACTTTAAAAAAGAGGGAGGGGTCAAGGGAACATGTCATACTTTGTGGATTTTACTTAAGGAGGATCTACTGACAAATGTTATGGATTACAAGATAATCAATGTTGAAATTTGGTAAGTTTGTTGTATTATTATAAAGATACATTTTCATTGCAATGGATCATTCTTTATAAGATTTACTAGGCTAACTCCTATTATTGTAATAATAATATGAAAAAGGGATAAACCTGAAAAAATGTGCATTAAACTGAAGTGTGCATGAAATTAAATATTTTACTCTGTGTTTCAGTAGATTTCTACTGTCCTGAGAAGATACTTAGGATTCTAATCAGCCCAGAGAAAACAATATATAGTCTGATAAACTGCTCAAAACCAAAAAAAACATGCAACATCCATAAAACCATAGCTGGCATGTCAAGTGCACTGTCTTATCTCACCTTGAAGGAATTTTTTTTCTTTAGTAACACAAAACAGAGGGTATAGCAACTTCTGAAACCATGTCTCTAAAACATAAATACAAAATAACCTGTGGATGAAAGGTTAAGTGGTACTGTACATGGCCACCAAGGTTTTGAAGGTAGAAATAAAATCATTCTTGGAATGTTAAAGAAGAAATCTTGTTTCATAATATCAACAATCTACTGGACAGACACTTCATATAACAATTGAACTCCAAAGTTTATGGGGGAAGAGTGTTCAGCAGTTTTTTACAATTTCATTTTGAGAAATAGATAATAATGAATAAAGTCAAACTTTACAAGCCACAATTTACGGTTTCACTATAAGCCTTACAAGTTAAGAACAAATTAGCTTTAATTTTTTTTTCAGTATTTGTAATTTTTTAGGACTACCTTATTATTAATCAAAAATATAGTCTTCCAATATTTATTCAGTTACCTATAAATATTATTCACTGACAGAGATATGCAAACAGCAAAGAGTACAAGCTAAAGGATTTCCTTTAAACATTATTAAATTTGAAGTTTTTCACACAAAATGATGCATCAATAAAACGTTTTTATGCATACAATAGGAACTGTAACATAATTAACTAACTCATAAAAAGCAAGAAATTGAGACAATTATACTCTTAATTTCTAGATTACATAGTGAAACTATTGACAATATGAAATTCATATTAGAAACAACCACTTCTTTTTTTTTGCATAGTGGTGTGTATAAAGATTTTGATTTGCACATCATGTGCTGAGTGAACATGTGTAAAAATAACAGATTCAGTTATCCCCATGTACCAAAACAATTACAGCAGCATCACAATAAATCAACTGCTGATTCTAAACAATAAATATGTGAAAAACTGGTCAGAAGCTGATAATCCATTTTGCGTTAACCAGAAGTGTTTTAGTAGATAATTACCAACCTTAACAACCAACCAAACAACAACAGCAAAAAATCTATACACAATAAGAACCTCCTGTATCAACTCAGAACAACCCTTTAAACCACTGTTATCAATTAGGATAAACATACTACTACCATTGCTAGTATATCAACTTAGTGGCAAACCTAGAAAGCACAGTTACATTTATTGATGAAGGAAAAATTTAAAAACATTTGTACCTCACACATTTCTTGACAAACCTATAAACTGAATTAAATCTTTATCAATCTAAGTGAAACCTATAAGTAACATTTAAATTCATTAACTCATCTTAAGCCCAGCCTAATATACCAGTAGTATGGCCATAAAGTTTGAATAATACCTCATAAACTTATTAAAATATAAATTTGAGAGCTGAAAATAATTTCTTTAAATTACAAATTTTCACAGGTAAGTTTGTAAAACAGCAAATATTCTACTTTGCTGAGTTGTGATTTATCAATTACAACCTAACCACAAAGTTCTACCTTCATATAAACAAGTTCACACAGAAAATACACTTGCCTTCAATAAAAAACATTTTGTTGAAGTTAACATTTTCATTATCAGAAATGTATTTCCAATAGATATTCACCTCCATACACAGGATAGCTATATCATTCACTCATCTGCCTATGAGACTTGCAAGGCCTTGAGCTAACTCCCACCTAATATTCACGTGTTTAATGTGATCTGTGCTGGTGCATGATGACATCATCATATGACAGTAGTCTTCCATCAACAGAAGGCAAAATTAAACCCTTCAGAAATTGCCCAAAGGACAAGTCCATGGAGTGTGACATCTGATGTCAGGGGCTACATATGGGTACACCCATGGGAGACTGCATCCCATTTCAACAAGTGTATACTCTTCGTGCAAGATGAAATGGAAGGAAAGTCAAAAGTGCTTGAAGTATCACAGGGATGACAGAATGTGATCTTGACCAACTGAGCATATGCACACAACTGGTTGGTGAGCCAATATATGTAGGATGGTTAGAGTGTGATTACACCATACAATGTGTGCTCATCTTGACTTGGGCTGCAGGAGGATACAGTAGCTGTGTGAGGGGGTGACCTATACTATACTAACAGTGTCACCACCACCCTACTTCTCATTGTATTATGCTAAGCCCAAATGGTGAGGATTCTCCATGATCCACCACCCCAGCATCTAGGAACTGGTAAGTGAAAATGGTCTCCCGTGCTCCACTTGAAGAAGAAGGTGGGGGGGATTCACAGTGGGGATACCATTTCCCTGGTGCCAGCTTTTTCCATGATATTTCGTGTAATTGTTACTGTCCAGATCGGACAATTGAGTATGAAACATATAAGGCTTACACATGCTTCGGTAGATGAAAAATAAAATTTTTGTGAATATTCATGTATGATACACATACATGTCAAGCAAAGAAAAGACATGCACATTAGTGAATGTATAATGGAAGTTACATAAAGACATTTGACCACAGAAAGAAATGTATATATTAAAACAAATACTGTGATGCATTCCAAGCTGCAGTATAAATTAGTGGTTTGTCTTATCTACATAAACAAACATGATCGTAACATTGAGAAAGACTACATAAAGTTTATATTATCGACAATAACTAGAGGAAGTGAATTCTATAAAAAACTCAGGGGATATACATGCTAATAGGCTGCTGATTAACAGCTCTTGATCATAACCAATTAACAATTAGTTTTGGATTGATAAAACATCGGAATTGACCAATTAGACAGAGGACCTACTTGCGAACTAGTTGAATCATTGTAAGAACATACGAAAATGTGGATGAAAAGTCAAGTTTTTGGACAAAAAATCAGTTTTCCAGTGCTGAGAACAGAAGCTAATAATTTTCACACCAGTTGAAAACTGATGCTGATTGCAGCCCATACTGGACCTTAAAAACTGATGCTGATTGCAGCCCCTACTGGACCTTGAAAACTAATACTGATTGCAGATATTACTGGACCTTGAAAACTGATGCTGATTGCAGACCCTACTAGACCGACTACTTCACAACTTTTAAAGATGTTTATCCTCCAGAGTACTGAAAATCTAAAATGCACAAACTATGTGTAAGTAATTATTGCTATCATCCCTAGTCGAATAGCATAGTTAAAAATTGATGTAAAATATGTAGTATTAAGGAGAACTCATAAATTATATCTGAGCATTTTTTACATAATGTTTTAATTGATAATCTTTTCTCTGTAGTGAGAAATTTAATGAATGTTATTGAAGGCTTGATTAATGAACAGTTACTCGCTCAGAATGAAGAATTTGATTCCTATAAAGTAAAAGTATTTTAAAGATACTTTGGTAATAAAGACTTGAATTAATAATCTTCACACCCTACTAGCAAATCCTAATCAAGTTACTTAACGTCTAAGCCACTATCTCAAAATCTCCTACATTCACTAAAAGAATAATCCTTAATTCCACCAACTGTTTCTGACCATCCCTAGTTACCTTTCAGGATCTGAAAGTTTATAAATCAAAATACCTAAGTGTATGTACCAAGAAGTTTGACTTGAACACCTCAAGGTAGCAAGCTACATTTACTAAGCTGTGAAGCAATCTCTGGTAATTTAACCTCTTTGTTCCTTACTGTATACACTGTATTCATGTCTCTCTGTAAATTACATTATTGATACGAAGAAAAGTCGTTACAGAGAGGTTGTCATTTGACCTTCCTCCCAAAAATCATGGTCGTATGTTGCATCTATCAGGAAGTTGTTTGTGGAAGGTCAGATAAAAGTAAAATTGTTCCGTGCATAAAAAAAAAGTCGTATTTAAAAGGAAGTTGTTATTGGGAGGGGTCTTATCCACCAGGAACTACTGTAATAATCAATGCTTCTGAAACAAAAGCCTATGTAAAATGAAAAGCAAAGTTTCATTAACAAATGCAAATCTCATCAGATTGAACTTACATGAGAAATTTGAACACACCTATTCAATATAATGCTGAGGAAAAGAATGTTATCAAGTGCACAGAGGGATTTACTGCACATGTAGGTTGTGTCCCTCTCCTATTGGTGGAGAGCTATTGTTGCACAATGACATCATCATACATCATTGCAGTTCACATTAAATACACGAATTTAGGTAGGAGTTAGCTCAAAGTTAGCATGTAAATCTCGTAGACAGACACATTTCTGTTAATTTCTCAGAAATTTAGCTTTCAAAGATTGTCTAAGAGATATACATTTTACTTAATACAACCTAAAAGATAAAAAATCCTATATTTGAAACCCAGATTAATACAAGAAATAGCTTATGTGTTTGCAGAAAGAAAAATCAAGTGACATAATCAAGAAACTAGTTTAAGTCTTTTAGAGCATGGTTTAAGAACTGTATTGTATACATCAATGGATTACTACTTTCTACATGTAATAAGCTAAAATTCTTTTTTCTTCCTTTCTTAAACAAGTTTTGATAATGATTTATACATTATTAAGTTTTAATTATAAGATGAAAAAATGCACAAATACAAAGTATTATAAAAGCGAAGGCACCACAAATTTTCTTTCACTGTCTTTTGAAGAATCTTGACATCACAACTTTATAGGGAATGTTGAAATAACCACAATATTTGCAAATCATAAATTACTTCTGTGAAAGCTCAGTATTTCACCACCTTTACTTAATTTATGCTGAAACACTAAATTCTGATAAAATATTTTAATCTCAAAATAAGGTTACTTATCTCTGAATTTATAACATATTCTAAATTTATTTGCATTTTCAAAAGAGATTTAGAAAATAATGCTATGGTGGGAAAAATATAGCATTTATGGCAGCTTAATGGAACATGCAATATAGAAACAACCAAAAAAAACATCTAATTAATGTATAAATAAACATAAAGGTGTTTGGCACCCAAATTTTGCAAACATTAAATGCACATAAAAATTAGCACAGTATACCTTTGCTATATACATTTCTTCCAGAAAAACTGACACCCAATTATAGCTAGTATTATATTCAACAAACACTAAAATCCCACAGTTTTACTGTCTGATCATAAGATCCAGAGATAATGATGCTGTCATTAAACTGCAGACATGTCACACCATCTGTATGGTTTCGAAGAGTAACCAAGCGTTGCCCTGTTTCCAGACTCCATACCTAGCAAAATGAAAATATAATAGAGTGAAAAAAAAGCATTTTAAAAGATTTTTGTAACTGCTTTTATTAACATTTTGTATACAGAACTATATAAAAAAAATATGTAGGCTATACAGGGTGTCTGTAAAATGGAATTCCCTAATGCTTCCTAGGCTAGAAACACAAAATATAAAGTTCACTGCCATTTCCACAGACACCTGGGAACCACAAACATAGCTCTGGTTTCCCACCATAATCCAGATTTTGTAATTGCCATCATGATGGAAACCACGTATGTCCCAATTGTGGAGAGGTGTGTGGAAATGGATTTCAGTGGTAGCTGTTTGGAATTAAATTTTAATGATAAAAATATAAAATTCAAAACAGACAGAGTACTCACACTGAGATGGAAGAAAGGGTGGGGGAAACTTATAAGAACCACTGGTTCATGAAAATTTCAGTTATTAGGTAGGAAGATAACCATCTAACCACCACAATTGAAAATGTGATCAAGCAGAGTTGAAGGGAATCCAGTCTCATAAGAGACTGTATAAAATAAAGATACTCTGAAAATGCATTCTTCTCAGTAGAGTGTCTTCTAACCAACATCATCCTTTAAATAACATATAGCAAAAAAAAGGAATTAGGCAGTAAGCATTTACCTGTGGAACCATCACATTCTCAGATGTGTTCACAGGTGGTGGTATAACAAGTAGTCATGATCACATTACAATGTGTTAAACTTGACTAGTAGTGGAAGAATCTCAGAGAATTAAGGGATGTTGCAAAATAAATCACACTTTTTTCCCCGAGAGCATAATAAAGTAAAATAAGATTTTAATTCAATCAAAAAAAGTAATTCCAAGTATCAATATCGCTTGATTAGGCCACCATTGTTTTCACGCATGAGGTTTAATCGATTTGCAAAAGATTTCAGCAATTCAACAAACATGTCTGTTTTTGTGGCTGTGGTGTGTGAGCACATCAGTGAGAACACTAATCAAGGTTTCACATTTGTGTCTCTCGCATTCATGCAAAGTATCCAACATTTCTTCTGTGCATTGTTGAATGAAAGCTCCGACATTTTGGGCGGGATTTAAATCTGGAGAGTTCCCAATCCACATTCCACCACTTTTTCACGGACCACTCTTTCAAATTCAACAATTCTAAAACTTCTGAGACATTAATCAGATGTTTCAAATTTGGCATTGCGATGTATCGATTGGAATACTTGAATTTGTGGAGCATGTCTGAGACTAGTTTCTGAGCCAATCTGAAGGCAGCACATGTGACACAAACCTGAGTTTCAGTGAGCACCATGATTCAAAAGTTTTCGCAAAAAATTTAATTTGAAGAGTCAAACACCCAAGAGTACGTTAAATTACGTTTTCTCACGAGTGACAATATTCGCAGTCCTACCAAGTTCGTCATTACTTCGGGGAAAAAAGTGTGATTTATTTTTTAACACCCCTTAGCTGATGACTGGATTTGTTCCCAATACTAAAGCCACTCTGTCTACATCTGACAGATGGCCAAGTCACAAAATCCATGGACACCCAGGGAAAATTGAAAAGGCCTAAAAAGACCAGAGAATGGGCTCTACAACTCAAAAACAGTACAATGGGAACATCAAACAGTTAAACATGTTAAGAAAGATAAATATAGAGCAGTAAGTTGTTCCTCATCCTGGCTTGAACAACAAGACATCATATGGAGAATGGTCTTCTCATGTTCAGTATCTTAAGTACTAAATATTATGCAATGATGTGATACAGAGGTGAGAAAGGTACTTGCTGAGGCATCCTTAGCCACCAGATGGTATCCTCTGTTCATTTCCAGAGGGCTTCATCCTTTTAAGGACCATGAGTAAAAAGAGAGGAATTTTGTCTAACAATGTGTAACAATTAAAGATCCCAACTGGATGAATCCATTCAAACAAAAAGTATCATATTATAAGGAGGCCATTATTTATTTATTTATTTTGATTTTTAATGATCCTATAATTCAAGATGCCCCTATAATTATTAAAAGGGCTGTTGGACCTTATAATGATACCTGGGTTAGAATGTACAACAGAGGTGTGGATTCAAGTAAATAATGCAGGTAGCAGAAAATAACTCACCTACTAGGGATTCCATCTGGTTTAAGGTATCACAATCACATGCAAAAATATAGTTTAAGAACATATCCATATTTATCCACATTCTGGCCTGCAGAATATCTGCCTAAGGGAACTGTGACCAGTATGCCCAAAACATTGTGAAGTTTAGTGAGACGTAACCCAAATTTAGTTTTAAAATATATGAGAACATTCTAGTAAGCATGACCGATAAATTTCAGAAACCAGTTTGTTAAAGTAGCCAGAGCTAGATCTGAAGAGCATGTTTCAATAATCTTTTCAAAGACTCTCTGAAAGATTCAGTATGTGCAAGATAACAATGAATATTTTTGACAAGACATAAAAAAAATCAGGGACCAGTCAAAGTAGAAACACAACTGGTGAAAAACAATGGTCACCTTCTTTCACAAATCAAGTTTTAAGTAGGAAGGCACAATTAGGGTACAAATATAAAGCTTTCTGAAAAAAGAAAGTAAAAAGAGCATAAAAAGCATAGATTTCAGAACATCATTTACCCGATCCCAGTAATGAAAGAAAATATGATAGAGTGAACAAGTCGCTAAAGGTTCAAAAGTGAAAAACTCATGTACAATTTAAGACAATCACCAGGAATTCAGGGTCATTGAAGACAAAAGGTTCAGAAGAGGTCTTTGATAATGGAAACAAAAAGGAATTGGAAGATAAGGCAACCAGCAGTGGAAGGAGCTTAGAGGCCACAGTTATGAAACAAATACATAAAGAAAGAAACAATTTGTTGAAGAGTTGGAGATAAGCAAGACATGTACCAACTCCAGAAGGTAGCCCAATGTGACTGATAAACAGCCAGAAAAGATCATCTGCAAAATTGGCTATTACTTGAGTCATCTGTGAAGAGGATCTAACTTCTTAGACAAAGGATCAACAACAAAGCCATGACTGTATAAGTGAAGAGTTAAAAAATAATAATAATCAAAAACAGGTATCCTCTTTTGCAATGCTAAGATATGAATTGAGGTGTAGACTTTAGATTTTTTTTTATAATTAGGAATACGTAATTTGTTTTTAATGTTTTGT